TTTTAAGAACTCTGACAATATTTTTGGGACTTCTTTTTTTCTGGAGTTTCCGCTCGGCTCTTCGTGTTTTATTATTCGGCCTTTGTTTTAAGAAACTTGGGGGTTTTGCGACACTTTTATTTTTACAGAACTTTTCGGCATTATTCGTGTTATATTTTTCAAAATCTTTCGGGATTTCTCGGGATTACTTTTGAATCTAGTATTTAGTGAAGATATAAATAGAATTAAATATATTCACTTTACCCTTTCAGTACCAAAAATCAACTGCTGAAGCTAAAAATCTGAAAATTGGTGTACGAGCTAAATTTTGCCCGTTGTTTTCAAAAATACTATAAAACGCTTAAAATGTCAGTTTAACCGTTATTGAGTTTTTATTATATTGGATCGTGGTACCCTTGGTTTGCAAAATGTATTTTTTGTCGTTAGCGAAATACATTTTAAAATTATGAATAATACTTTTTTGGTTTGGAATCTGAATTCCATCGAAAAATATACATTTTTTTCAATACACCGCGGTAACGAAGAATGATACACTTTTTTCAAAACAAATGTTCTTCTACTAACAACATAAGCTTTTATTTACGAAAAAAGGGTTAAAGTATTTAGGGCACTTCAAGTATGTAAATGCTATCCTACTCGTTATTTATAAGGCAATTCTGGCTAAAATAGTTGCAAATACATACTTTGTAATCAATTGCAAGACCGTAGGCAAGATTGTTTGAAATATTTTGTTTATTCTGGCACGAAAGTCTTACCCAAAAAAGCTCCCTTGCCGAATTTCATGGTGAAAAGCTTTTTTGTCAGAAAGCACTTTGAATCAAGTGGGAGATGTATTCATATAATTTTGCTCGCGCTGATCCAACAGTCGCAAAGGCCGAGTGAGCAAAGATTGGCGTGCCATTCGTGAGATCCGAGGTTCGAATCTGCGGACGGCGGATTTTTTTTTCTTTTTTTAATTTATTATTTTTTCCTTTTTAATTTAATTTTAAGATTTTTTGTTTGATTAAAAAGAAATATGTATCTATATTTTTTAATACAATTTGCGGGGAAATTCTGGCTAAGATAGTGAAAAAGACAGATGTCAAGATAGCTTGAAAGACTTTTGTTATTCTAGCATAAAAGTTTCAGAAAAAAGGTCTCAAATTCACCACTCGTGGTGAAAAACTTAAAAAAAGTACTTTTTTTAATCTATCAGTATTTTCCTTTTTAATACTACTTTCTTTTAATCATTAGTTTTGATTGCTTTAAAAAATTTTATGTATATACTTTTTTATTTCATTTAACTTTTACAAACTTTTTTATTTATTTTTGATTCTGAAATCGTTTTTATTTTTTCTATTATTTTTCTTTTAATTTTAGATTTTATTGTTTTAAATGAATAATAATAATAATAATAGATTGGCGCTTACACATATGTTTGTGTTTGGCCGAGCGTCTCCTCCGATTTGTGGCGTGCGCCTTGATGTTGTCACACAAAGCGGAGGGACCTACAGTTTTACGCCGACTCCGAACGGCGATTGTATTTTTATGAGAAGCTGTTTTTCATGGCAGAAATACACTCGGAGGTTTGGCCTGCCGAGGGACGACCGCTGTTAAGAAAAAACCTTTTTTCTATATTTTTGCGATGTTGCTTTGACCAGGGTTTGAACCCAGGTGCTACGGAGTGGAAGCGCGCACTGCTTACCACTACACCACAGCGGACCAAAGCGTTTTAAATGGAAAAAGTAATAACTACATTTAAGTATTAGAAACCTGTTTTATTCTTTAGTTTTTAAATTAATTTAAGTATTTAAATTTAATTTTCTTTTAATATTTAGATTTTATTCTTAGAAAAAGGCCAATGTGCACATTTTCAATTTAGTTTGATTTTCAGAAACTTGTTTTTTTTATTATTGTTATTTTTTTGTATTACATGTGTACATATAACTTCTTTTAATTTTTAGTTTTTATAGTTTTAAAAATAAATATGTATTTTTTATTTAAATTTACTTTTAAAAAACTTATTGCTAAAAGCCAAACAAAATTTCCTNAGTAAATTAAGTAATTTTCTTTTAATATTTAGATTTTATTCTTAGAAAAAGGCCAATGTGCNTTTAAATTTAATTTTCTTTTAATATTTAGATTTTATTCTTAGAAAAAGGCCAATGTGCACATTTTCAATTTAGTTTGATTTTCAGAAACTTGTTTTTTTTATTATTGTTATTTTTTTGTATTACATGTGTACATATAACTTCTTTTAATTTTTAGTTTTTATAGTTTTAAAAATAAATATGTATTTTTTATTTAAATTTACTTTTAAAAAACTTATTGCTAAAAGCCAAACAAAATTTCCTTGTTAGCAGATCTTTCAGCTGTCAAGATAGTAGCCAAAATTGACAATTTTCCTACGAATGACCTTTGTCCTTAGAAAGACTGAGGCGAGTTAAAACCCAATTGCCAGAATTGCCCTGTTAGTCGCATACCAAATACTTAAGTATATATAACTTGATCATTTACTACAACATAAATTCCTATATACTTTTGTACTTAGTATTTTGAATGTAGTAAATAAAATGTTGCCGATAACTGACTCGCATAAGATAAAATAAAAGTTTAGATAAAAGACAGCATGGCGTATGAGTTATATTTGGCGATTACATACGGCTCGCTCGCTGGAAAATTTTTAATAAAATTCACTTGATCTGAGCCCTATAAAAGAATTACATCATTTGGGTTTGGTCTGCGCTACCACGAAATTCCAGCAAAGTTTAAAGATGTGTGCTGATGTCTCAGGTAGCTTATTTACTTAAATTTTTATTCCCTCACTCACATTTTGCATGCAGCTACCTTATCAATATATTGTATGTATAAACATACTCTCTTGGCTTGCCTACCCCACATAACCATAAACATGTTATTAAATAATTTCATTATTGAAATTTTCGGTCGACAACTTTATTAAATTTCGTGCTCAGCAAGCATCTCATGGATACATATATATTTTACGTTCGCAGGTAATTAAATAACGACGAATTTATGACGCGCCAGTGATATAAATAAGTATGTAAATGTAAAGGCAAGTGAAAATTTAACTGCCACCTCTGCTGTTTTTTCTTCAATGTGGCACAGTTTAACAAAAATTCCAATTTTTTTCGCTTCTACTCGAGGCACTTGCGTTAAAGTACATAGCTTTGCGAAATATACAACTGATATTCTTTCAATTATAAAGATTGGCAACGTAATAAATGATAAGAAATATTACGTTAGATATATTCTTTCTTCCGCGCTTTCCTTATTTCTATTCAAAGAGGAGCTTAAATGAAAGTAAAAATATTCTTAAGTATACAAAATCTTGGAAATGAATTTAAGAAAAGGCCGCAAATATGAACGCGCAAAAACAAAAGGCGGATTATTATCCTTTTGGAAAGTAAAATGCGCTAAAAAAGGACGTGGCTTATAAAAGACTAAATATTTTATTCGTTCATGCGGCGCTGTGGCGGAGAGCAATTTTGAAAGAGCTGTGTTGCATTGCATGGATAGCGAATTAATTCGCTGCAGGGCAGTGCAAAAATTTCCATGAGTTTTTTGTTATTTTTTTTTGTTCTAATTCTAATTTATAATAGTACACCGGTAGTTTTTTAACCTTTCTGGCACGATTTTGGTCATAATAGCTAGCAAATTTAAGAATTTTAAGGAATTTCAATTCAATTATTTGTCAATAAATGTGAAATTTAGAATTTGTTTGTGAGTATCTTTTTTGTGACCACATTTCAGTTTTTCACTGATAAACAAAATTAGTTCTACATTACGAAGCTACCATGAATAATAATAGCCAATATGTAACACCTTGCGACAGTCAATTTTACACACACAAAACAAAATCAATATATTCGCGAAACCATGGACAAAATTTCTAAAAAAGATTATTTAATAAATGCAGCGCAATGTCGAAAGCAGTATGGGCTAAAGAGAAAATTGTTTAGAATTAAGGCATATTAAATTTTTTGGTACGAATAAGTATTGAGAATATCCTTTGAAAATTTGATCGTTGAATACGCACTAATATACACCCGACCACATCCTCGAATTTCGTCCATCAAAAAAATTAAAATTAATTAAAAGAGCATTTCCAATACCCATTCGTTCTTTCAAACCAAAAAGCTTGAATTTTTTAAATTCTACAGAATTTTCTCTTTCATTTGGTATCCATATTGTAGATCTACATTGCAATGTTTTTTTAAAATAATTTTTGGAATTAATTATATCTTTGAAACTACAAAGTCCTTTAAAAAAAACCTGACTTCAGAGAGAAAAATCTAAAAACGCAGTTTTACTATATTTGACTCATAGTTTCGTGAGTGTTTTGATTGTTTCGTTGATTTTGAAATGTTTGTTTTTGTCGCACTATGTAATTGATTAAATTTGGTTTTTTAATAAAGAACATTTATTTTTTTAGTACCTAAAGTTGCGCGGAGACTTTTCATATGAGCCCCAATATTATAAGTATGCACGTACGTATGTTTAATATCAGGCTTGTTTATACTCTGATGGTGGCAATATTTTTGTAACCAGTAACTAAAGTTTGTGTTTCAGTTTGTACCTTAGTGTTGAGCTCTAAAGAAAAATCTCATTATTTTTGTTAATTTTCTTCAAGCACTTCTTTCTCGGAAGTTGAAACCCAAGGCGAATTCATACAAGTTGATAGCGTAGGCCCAAAGCTTACATTAACAAATACAATAAAAATTACAACAAATATGCAAAAAAATAGAATGTTCAACGTCAAGATCTCGAGTCACCGAAGCGAAAAAATCAACAGCTCCAGATTGTGTGAATTCGCCTTGATTAAAAATTTCGATCAAAGAATTTTTTTTTTTCTCGAGCGTTTTTTATATTAATGTTTTTTTTTTTTACTTGAGTGCTGGATATTGCTTTGTGTTTTTAAATTTTTTTGGTTATCAAATGGTCGGTAGCAATCAGGTTATCAAATCCCTAAGAATTTGCAATTCAATAGTTTTTATTACCTGAATATTATCGCATTCACTCCATGTTTTCAAACGAGGCTCAAATTTCTTATCCTTTTCGCTGGTACTGGGCGACAATTTGCTGCCAGCGCCTGTATCTTGAGTAGAGATCCAGATGAGATTTCCTTTTGGTTGCTTTACCAAAATCATTGCGTGTTTGCCATGCGGTACCTCATGCTGAAATTAACAATATACAAAAGAGGGAAAATGGTGAAATTGTAGATACCAGGTTTCGAAGATTTAGTAAACCTAAGTATAATGTGTTTTAATAGATGCCCTGAATAAAATAAGCAATAAGAAACTATGAACATATATTTGATATTTGAAACGTCCTCCTGGTTCAGGTCGGCCAGGCACATAAGCCTAGAAAATACCGCGAACTGAAGAACGAGACGAAAGTCTTGATAATAGTGAGATAACAGCGGGAACATGAAATCACAACAATGAAAGAACGTTACGGAAATAAATCACTTTTGAAGTAATATCTATGCGACTATTAAATTTGAAGCGCCTCTTTATGAAAATGCTAAACTGCACAAGTTCTAGTACTTATTGTAGCTTAAAGTTAATCGAGGAATGCAATTGGACTGAGTTGCCTCTCATCTACGGCTATGAGCCCGTATGGCTTCAATTATGTACTTTGCCCGCGTTAGCGTCAGTTATAAGTTTATCAATAATAAAAATAATTACATTCCGCCATTAACCCCCCAACGCATCCCTTAAATTTAGCAAAGCTTAGTAAAAACAAATTTTTTTTCCATGACATTTCGCACTTTTCTCCTACATTGCATAGTAGTAGATCACGTTCCAACAACAGGGGCTGGGAGTTCACTATTCAGCAGGTTTCCTTCAAAAACAACCCTATAAACATTTTGGCGAACGTTCGAAAATGACCTTCGATATCCAGTATGCATATCGGACTGAGACCGAACTCTTAACCAACCTTAGTTTTCCAACGTTCATAGTGTATTGGAAATACACTCGAAATGTGTTAAACAAAAAAAAATTAAAACCATAGTAACAAGAGAGAAATTGAAATCCAGCTCGCTCTCGAAGCGAAACATAAGACAATCACTCTCTCTCATTAAAATTTCAATTCGATAATGAGCTGGATTTCGCATTCATAACGAAGAGAAAATACATTGGATAACGAGGGTTCCGTTTTTATAAAGAATGGCCCAGTTCTTGAATCGAATACTAACCTATTCCACATTCGTTATCGAAGGAGAGACTTGAAAAAAAAAGTTAGATTTCCAATCATATTCGAATTGTTAACCAATCCCAATGTTTATTGGGAAACAACCAGCCGAGTGGTGAACTTCTAGCAGCGTTTTTTTGGAACGTATTCTGCTACTATGCACCTTATTGGTTTTCTATGTTCTTTGCTTAATATAGCGACACAGATACAGATCAGGGTAAAGGAAAAGGAAAAGATAAAGATACGAATTAAGAGATAAATAATGTTAAGTTATGTTATGTTATGCTATGTTATGTTATCTTATGATATTTTATGTTATGTTGTATTATGTTATGTTATTTTATGTTATGTTGTTCAACAAATTTCACCTCAACTCACCATACCTCACTTCAATTCCCCTCAACTCACCTTCGCACAACTTACACCAATTAATGTGTGAGGTGGGTTTTGGCAAATGCTGAGGTAAGCTCAGCCGATACAGAGTTGAATGATGAAGGTCCTACTAGTCCGCACCAAATAAAACACAATAATTAGTGTAATACATAGAACACCCTACCTACGGCAAATGCAGCCCAGTCCGCCTTATGAATAATCGTGCCTGCTTGGTACTGCGGGCGGTTGCAAAAATGATGGGACTGCATTACCGACCACGTTGAACGTTATTTTTTTTTTGTTCTTTGTATCATCCTTCACCATATCCACGTAGCCAAATGTATTTAATTTTAGAAAAAATTCACATGCCTAATCTACACACATAAGTGTGCAAATATATCTATAAATAATCATACAAATGTATGTATAAAGCTACTAGAAGAATTTTTCTATAAATACATATTCAAAGCACATTTTCAAAGAAATTTTCTGCCATAAATCTCACTTCGCAGTAACTTTTTCAAGCTAAATTTTTCAATATGAATGTATGTATGTATGTACGTATGAATGTACGAGTACTTACAGTGACTAAAACAAGTGACCATGTGTAGATTTTTTTTTTAATATTCGTAATGTTTTTCGAGCTAAACCAAAATCCGTATCTCAACTTTTTAATCTTAATCTTAAAAACATTTCTGGGTAGGCAGTTTTATAGCCCGTACAATTTTAGCCTAACAAAGTGCAAGTTTAACTAGCTGAAAAATCGCGTTGATTTTTGAGAATTTTTTTTTCGCGTTTTGTTTTTATATGACAAGTGCTATTTAAAAAAACTGGCGTTGATTTTTTTTTAATTTTTTTGCGAACCTACGGCATTTTATTTCATAAGAAACTTATGCTTATATGGAAAAAATTTTGATGAAGATTTTTTGAATTTTCCTAAAATTTGTATAAAGTGTAAAACTGTCATTTATATGGAAAAATAACCCAAAAAATTTATATCGAACAACATTTCGAATATTAAAAAAAAAAATCGACTCGTGGCCACTTGTTTGAGTCACTGTATATACCTTTTTATTCATTTACATACATAGCTTTTGCGAAATCAGCAGAAAGTTCCGTTACGGAATTTCAATTTATTTTCATCGATAAATTTTCACTTTTTTTACTGCAGAAATGTGCAATTGACCAACAACGGATAAACCATTCTTCTCCCAATGATAGCCAGTGGTTTTTCCTGCGAAACGTATGACTTCATTTGTACACCTGCATGACTTGCTCTTTTTGCTGTGAAAATACGTATGTATATATGTATTAATGTATAGCATACATACATATGTGCAAGAGCATTTTCCTTGCGCAATTATGAGCGCTCATTCATTTATATTGGCAAATGGAAAATGGAAAAGACAATCACATAAATTCATAGCTAAACAGCGGTCGTGAAATCATAAATGGCGGATTGTCTCCGCTTTGTCCATTCAGCAGCTTGGGAAACTCTAAAAATGCCCAGCTGTTCGTTGGATTTTGCAACTGCTGACTATCTACAAAATAAATAGTTTCGCTTTGAATTCGATATATGTACAATATAAGTAACCAGCGCGTGATTTATTGCTTTTGCTACTTTTACTGTTATTGTCTTAGCCAGCTGTTGAGCGAAGTTTAATAAATGCGTGTTTTTTTTGTTTTTCAAAGGGAAATAAGAAAGGATGTGGGCAAAAATGTGAAAGTAATTTCATTTTGAATCAGAGATAACATAGTAGTTAGTTCGATTGTATGAAATTCCATAGAAATGAATGAAATGTGCTATTTATTTCAACTAAAAATAGAAGAAGGAGAATAAGTTGAGCTTTCTTCTATGACCAATTTGGTGTCACCATACATTATTATATTTAAATTTTTAAACTTTGCAAAAATATAATGATAATACCAATACATAGACGTCAATCAAGAACATATCGTCTTTTAAGTAATAGTCAGTGGATACTTTAGCGCTTGTTGACAAAAGTGGTTTTCTGGTTAGTCTCTAAGCTGACACATTTGGCGGTGTTAATGGATCCTAAATAGACAAAGTACTTCAGTACTCCAAGTTATGAGTGCCAAAAATGCGTATCTCCTAATACGCGAAGTATCTCTGAGTGCTCGCAGGATGTATTTTGTCGTGTCCTCGTTCGCCTATTTTGTCAATCTTCTCTAAGCTGAATGTTGAAGCGCTTGACGTGCTGATGACCAGACCGACGACGTCAATATCGTCCAACATCAGATTGAAAAAGTTACACTAATTGTCGCCTTGTTTAAAAGTTGCACTCAACCTTTGCCGGGATCTGCAATTAAGACGTGATCTCGGAAAGGTAGCATCTCTTCTCGCTGTCAAAAGCGTCTCTATATGTCAAAGCTTGCAGCCGTGTAATGGCTTGAAAACGTAGAATGCGTTCATAGAACCTGACTGCCCTTAACAGGTGGCACATTGGCCCCAACAATTCCTCACCACTGGCTTTGAGCAGCCTTGTTGGTTTTATGTCGCACTATTTATTACTGTTCTCACCTCCAACTTGATTGAGGGCGTGTGTTCGTGCTCATGCATTCGCCTGTGTTCTTCTTCGATAAGTGCGCATCTATGTTGCTAATGGTCTCGGCTAAAACTAGACCTGCTCTTGAAACGATTTGTTGGCTGTCAGTTTGGTTACAGCAAGGCCCCTGCCATCGAATTTCCTGATACCAGCCTTGTATTACTCTAATGACAACTAGCTGTTAGATATAGGCACCTACTCCATAACAGAGATATATCGTAGCAAATTTATTATTTTAGGTTCAAGATATCCTATTGTAAATTAAAAATTTTGAGGAATGTTTTCTAATTTGGGGCCAAAACAGCGTAGATACCTAATGAACCGTACCGAGGATAAGCCTGTCTGCGTCCTTCGTAAGCTTGAAACGTGAATGGAAATGTATCGGATACTTGCCGACCTCTGGAGCAACTTTTTTTCTCTGCCACTTGTGTGACCAACTATAAAAGCTTCAACGTTCGTATACCTAAAACGGATGTTCAGTGCTTCCCCAAAATAGCCGATAGCAGTCGCATCCTGAACTTTGGTAAGTTTACAAAACCGACATTAAAATAAGTGTAAAATTTTTTGAATTTATTTTTCCAAAAATACTCTTTATAAATTCACTTTATTAAAATACTCGTAGTTCTGTAAAATATAACTAATTACTCTCATTACTCCCTTCAGTGTTAAAGTTCGAAAAGTTCAAAATATTATACTTTCATAGATAAAATTCCTGCGCAAACAAACTTCCAAAAAAGTTAAGCTAATTTTATTCGACCTTTAAATAGAATTTGCTCGCATCTACTTACTACACCGTCCATTTAATTTGGTGGTGAAGGCCAGAAAATGGCGCTAATTTAATTTCCTTACATCTGACCAGTACTTGAACGTTATTGTTGTTTTATTTGACGAAGGCCGACGACCGCAATGAGGAAAGTTAATGAAATGTTAGCGACCGCCTACACAAATAAACCAAATTAAAGTCGATAGAAAAGATACTTTTTAATGAGAAGAAGCGGTCAGAGAAAGTGCGGGAGGAGTCAGGTTGGCGTTGTATGTTT